CACACACACACACACACACACACACACACGCACACTCACTCACTCACACTCACTCACACACACATACACACGACATGTGGGTGGTTGATGGGTACTCTGATAAGGTTTGCTCTTTCTTTCCTATCAAAACATCTATTATTCTTATATCTCTTCTCACTCTTCTTGGTGTTTATCACTGTCTCGTAACACCTCCAATCTTTGGCACGTAAGGCCTAAATGTGCTGCAAGTGCCGTAAAACTCTGACAAAAATCTTTTTTAGTACGCTTTTGTTCTGTCTGTCAGCGATAGGTGAGGAGGGTGGTGAACAGGTGTGTTTATAATACACTTTTCTTTCTCATCTTTCACACGTTCCTCTACTCTTAAGTATTTCATTACTGTACAGTGCTGAATGGGCCGGATAACTCTCACAAAGCCGAACAATCTGAGAATTTCTCGTCACTGGGAGATGAGGGAGTTGGGAAGTCACTATGGGTCATCTAGTATGTATTTCTTTTTTCCCCCTATGTTGTAAGTAAGTAAGTAAGTAAGTTTATTCAGTGTTTAAGGCTATTGGCCCTCATCACATGATATTTATAAAACTCTCCTTTGTTAAATAAAGTTTCCATAATGAAAGGGCTCAGGTTGTGCACATACCCTTGATCATGGGTCAAACATTGCGTGTTTCTGTCACTGGACCGAGCCAGGCTGGGGGACAGGAACAATTATGTTGATTGTTTAGTAAAATTAATATCGAAATGCAAAGTACAGCAACTCTGGTGTCTACTTCGGGGAGGGGGGGGGGTGTTGGCTGAATATCGTGACTTAAGCAATACCGGTCTGTTTTAGTTTTACTTAGGTTTTACGGCGCTCGCAACTGCTTCAGGTCATATGAGCGCCTAGGGGTGGATGTCAACAGAGAAGTCCTTACAGGGAATCAGGCTTACTCTTCACTTCTCTTTAGCTTCAACAGCACAAAGTCTGCTTCGACTACCAAGGCACCCTGGAAATAGCGGGTCACAAGAGAGTGACAAACATACAAAAGAAGTAGAGGAAACATGACGATAGTCAGGATTAGGAAAGAAAAAGCGGCAGTTCCCTGTAGCAGTTCAGGCACAGTTATGAGCATGACATTGATGAATCAGTTCATTTACAATTACAATTCTACTGTGCATAAGAACATGGTTAATGTCCTCCCTCCTCCCTTTGGGAATGGCTTAAAGACAATTCAGTCAGTAGCACTGCCCCCTGGGGGTAACCAACATGTTTGTGTGTGTGTGTGTGTGTGTGTGTGTGTGTGTGTGTGTGTGTGTGTGTGTTTGTGTGTGTGTGTGTGTGTGTGTATGTAAAGAGGAGGGGGTGAGAGGAGGAGGGGGGTGAGAGAAACTATTGGACTCGGGGACACAGTGTTTAGGTGGGTGGTCACAAGACTGCGACAAAAGCCTTTATTTGACAACTTGTCGTTTGTCAAAGTCCTACTCCCAGCCAGTGATTTGATCTAATAATTAAGTAGTAAAAGAACCTCCATGAATTGTCTCGTCCTGATGATTAATCAATGCATCTGCTTTCTGACCTTTCATATTCTACACACATTTACATCTCCATTGCTTCCAAATGTATTGACCATGTGTCTCCTTTGGAGCATATCGAGGAAATCAAGATCTGAAGAGAGGGAAGTAGTACTTGGGCAATCTACTTCCTCTATGTCTACCACACAAAGCAGTATCATGTATACTGCTGTAAGATCTACTTCCTCTATGTCTACCACACAAAGCAGTATCATGTATACTGCTGTAAGATCTACTTCCTCTATGTCTACCACACAAAGCTGTATCATGTATACTGCTGTCAGATCTACTTCTTCTATATCTACCACTCAAAGCTGTATCATGTGTCTAAGATGGTCTCTCGGAAAAGGCCACCACATTCTCTTCTACTTTTATCTACCAGAATGTGACTCATTCCACTGGGGTGAGGACTGCAGAAATCAGTGTAACTGTTTCGTCCCGGGTACAACTCGCTGTGACGCCGTCACCGGGTGTGCCTGTCGTGACGGCTGGAGGGGCGTGACGTGTGACCGTGACGTGGACGAATGCTCCGCATCTGTGCCTGTGTGCCCCGTGTCGGCAGAGTGTCGGAACAGCTACAGGGGCTACACGTGTGTGTGCAGGGAGGGCTATACAGCACAGGCGGGGGGTGGTGGCGGGCTCAGCTGTGAGGGTGAGTGGTGGTTGTTGTTGTTGGTGGTGGTGGTGGAGGTGTTGTTGTTGTTGTTGGTGTTGTTGTTGTTGTTGTTTTTGTTGTTGTGGTTGTTTTTTA